AATTATTTACATTGTTAGAAAATTATAAATAGAATCTATTTTCTGAGTTGAAATTGTTCCTTAATTAAACTTCTTTAGGGGATGAAAATAAAGATTTCATCGTAAGCTTATGAGAAGGCTATGTAAATTCATATTTCATATGTTATTTTCATCGGATGACTGTTCTTTAGAAGAATAATTACATTTTCGACCAAAAGAAATCAGTTCTAAAACGACGGAAAGTTGCAGTATTATAACAACTAGTCGTTGCAAAGAACTATCTCAGGACTAAACAACAACAACAACAAAGAACCGTTACCCGTGTGGTGCGTGAATTGCTCTGTTCCTTACAACTTCATCATGTTACATCATACAGTTTCTTCGAAAATATAGACACGTGTACATACAAACCTCTGACGGCAATCTTTTTCTATCTGATGTCTTGTTGGCCATGCACGTGTTAATGATAATGGACTTTACGAAGTGATGTTTTATCAAATCGTTTTAATTACATAGATGTATACGTTTTAGGAAAGTATGTAAATATAGAAATGAATTGATTTTTTTTTCTCTCTCTCTATACCAGGCACGTGGCGTTTGCTCCGAGTAGATACGATACATACTCCAACGTTGGATTTCCTGGGCTACAAGATCTTATGTTTGTTTTAGACAAGCTAGACCCGATGGAAAAAGAAAAACAATGGCAACAAATCAGGCAACACATTTCGGACTTGATGATCATTATTCGAGAAGCTGCAGATTATTTGGAAGAATCCGAAGTTATTTAAATATACAAGCTTTTATGAAATTATCCTTTATAAAACACTTGTGTTGTAAAATAGTGATAGTAATGATAGCAAAAATAGTGCTGATTGCTTGTAAAATTGTGGCTATAATTGTTTTTTTATTTGACTTTTAATTTAAATGACAAAAAGTACAATTATACTAATTCAAATCAAACCATTAAGATTAGATCTCAGTAAGCTGTTCACTGAATACTTTACAGCATTATCACCTGTTTTTTTACCTGCTTGTCTTACCTTATCTTTAATCTTTTGATTTTGAAGGTTTGTTGAGTGTAGCTCAAAGCACAAAAACAGCAGTTAACAATCAAACTTGTACATTTGCTTACATCAGGCATCTACAAATCCCGGGCGCCAGGTCGCCATGGCGACTCAAAATATCATCTTGGCGCCTAATATTTTCCCCCATTTTATTCGTACGTTGGGATGTGCTAAATAAAACTCGAATCTAGAACACTTCTATATTCGCGTTATTTGAGTCTTAAATCGAACTTGACGGATTCAATATTTCTTCATGTCTTTTCAGGAATGAAGCACTGTGGTAACACAAGTTACTAATTTCGCGCCATTTTGATTTTCTTCTTTCTCTCAATTCAACCAATCAGTGAGCGTGTGTTTAGACTCGTACGGAACCAACGATCATTAGCATGCACTTGTTGCTGTGATTGCAAATAAATAAATGTAGCCCCCATTTGCCGGTACAAACTGTAGTGAAGTTAAGTTAGGCACACCAAAAAGACCTTTGTTTACAGTGTTGTAGTGATGAGTAGATTAGACCTATTCTGAAATAACCTGCTTGGCCTATCGCTATCGCAGTGATTATTTGTATTTTACTTTCATTCATTGCAAGAATCCACCTAAGTCATAGTTGTTTAGTCTACTATTTTGATAATTGCACATATTGAAGTTTAACTTTAATATATGTTGTATAAAAAAGTTTAATAATGGACCTTTTGCTTTTAGTGTAAAACTTCACGTCTCGTACCATAACCACACAACCGACTCAAAATATATTCTATAACTTTTTTTATATCGGACCTAGCTCCTAGATCTGAAAATATGTGTTAGGACCTGGCTCGCATGAATATCAGACCATTGGAATGAAGAAAGCAAGCAGTGACTTTAAGAGGAAAATAATTTGAAAACACTTAAGTATATACAGTCGATCTTAGAAATGATCAGAGTTCAGCTTGAAAGTGTGTACTGAATAATTAAATGTGTCATTCACTGCCCCAATCCGGCACAGCTTACTAGTTTGTTTTTCTAAGATTAGATGATCGCTCAGCACAGACATTATTGGCATATGAAGACTCTCCAAGTATGTAGATATTAAAAACTTGAAAGAATAGTCTGAATAATAGTCAGAAGACACAAAAATATTACAGTTTTTATATCACTTTTAACAATATATAAAAATGACATTGAATGAATCTTGAAGTTGTGTATCTTATAGTTCAGAAATTTACTGAATTATTGACAAAAAACATTCCTTCTATATAATACGCATTACTTTGTAACACAGTGTCATATACAGACGTAAGTAGTGTACACGTTATACAGTTATATACAACTGTGTTATATATTATGATTATAGCAGTGTTTTTTGTTATTCGAGTAATGCATACTTATGTTCTTTTAAAAGGACGCGAATTTCTGTTTCCTAACTGTTCTGGTTCTTACGTAAAATAACGAAACTACATTATCTGTTGAACGTTGTATTTTGTTTAAAATTAATTAAGCACAAAGCTACACAATGGACTATCTGTGCTCTGCCCACCACGGGTATCAAAATCCGGATTCTAGCTTTGTAAGCCTGCATACATACCGCTGTGCCACTGGGAGCTGAACGTTGTAATCTAAGACATTACTTTTGAAGGCAGAAAAGCATCATGATTCTAAATATTACCTTTGGATGATTAGTAGAATTCATATTAGTTTACTTATCCAATAAGGGACAATTTTCGTATATTTGTATCGTTTACCCAAATAAAGTGTATGTGAGTTTTTACAATATCTGTTTTGAAGCGTTTTTTTTTCAGTATGAATATTTAAGGATTTAGTTAAATACATTTTCACTCTTTTTTAGGTGTGTGTGTGTGTTTATGTGTTTTATCTGATAAGATATTTAATATTTTTAACTTGAAGAGCATCTTATATGTAGGAAGACTGAAAGTCCTGGTCAAAGGCCTTCTGGAGTCCAAATATAACCTTTATAATTTTTTAGCTACTGATCAGAGCGAAGGTAACCATTCAGCTTCGAACCGATTAACAGGATTGGCTGTTAGTTTTATATTGCAACCACAGCTGAAAAAAGCGGAGAGTGTTCAGCGCCATTGCGACGCAAACCATGGCCCTTCTCATCAGCAGCCCAGCACGTAAGCACTAGACCATGCTTAGATTTTAAGTTCTAGGGGTCACAACCTCATCTATATTAAAAGATATATAACAGGTCGACATGTTATAGGAATAAAACAGTCTAAAGACAAGTAGTCCCTGCTCTTCACTGATGTTTCGCTTTCCTACAGCATTCTAAAAAGAGTTGGTATAATACAACTTACAGAAAAACGAACAACACTACAGATACACTATGGTATAATAGTCCGCGAAGGTTAGGATCACGTAAGTTTGTCAAATTTAATTATTTTGATTAGACTCATACACTAGTTTTAGTTTTCATTTCTCTGCAAACAAAATTCTATTATTGTTAATTAAAAACAAACAAACTTGCAATGACCATAAATAGTTAAAATTTAAACGATAATATTATTCCATGAATAATATACCTGTTTTCTTCTAGAACCTTGAAAACGTACATGAAAACTTATACTTATTCCACAATGTTTATTTGCACAAGTTTAATAAAAATCAATACAAATGAGTTATTCTGGTAAACGTACTTACTGCAATAAGTACACCTCTTTATTCGAACAAAAAATAGAAGTATTGTTAAACGAAAATCAGTCATAAAACAAATATTGATAATAGTTAAGACATAACGCTTGTATAAGTACTACTCATACAATAAACGTGGCATCAATACATTCAATAAACACATTTGAACTTTAGGTATCGGTTTTATTGTTGGTGTAACAAATCGTGGTGTTTCTTATTGTTTATAATACATTATAATGACAGGTCTAGTTTTCACACTAGCTGTGTATGTGTTCAAACAGTGTTTCTAGTATCGTCTTTACTATTACTTGGGGCATTATAGAAGATTAAAACTCGACATTATGTTTCATAGTGATTTAAATGCTGTATAGAAATAACAGATATTTGTTTCATCTTATCAATCCAAGTAAATTAAAACAATTTCTGCTTATTACCAGGCCTAAATTATTACATTCAATATAAATCATAAAATGAAAATGCTCAATCTTTCAACCTATTTATTTCTTATTATTATTCCAAATAAATTGTGCATATGCTTTAAGGTTTGAAGGTAATTCATGAACCTTTAAAATCATGTCTTCAATAACTTCTCAATATTTTATATGCAGTTTTATCAATAATAGCTAATCTGCTCCACAGTGGCACAGCGGTATGTCTGCGGACTTACAACGCTAGAAACTGGGTTTCGATACCTGTGGTGGGCAGATCACCAATAGTCCATTAAGTAGCTTTGTGTTTAATTACAATCAATCAATAGCTAATCTTCAACACAACTAGATTACTGGGTAGAGAATTATTTTCATCTTGAAAATATCTATTATTGTTTTTATGTGGATGTTTTACTTTGAAATGTCTCCTTCTACGAAGAATCGACATGGTTAACAGATTAGCGGTCGACACTTAAAAGTTAATATATATATTTGCAGAATTGAGGAAAAACAAGACACTTGTACGTTTCCCTAATACATCAATTATTACGACCATAGTTTCGCCAGTAAAGGCATCATCAGGTACATCATTTATGGTCGTAATAAATCATGTATTTATGAAACGTACACTTGTCTTATGTTTCCTCAATTCTGTAATTATGGAGTTTCACCAAGTAACGACGGTTACAAGTATCAGTTATATATTTGGTTTAAACAAGCGGTTTTTATTTGTTCAAAATCGCGAGATGACAGCAAATCAGTTTTTCTTTTACATTCTGAAAACTGATGATACTGAAGTATTACAGTCTGTCATATGCAACTTAACAGAATTTAAGCCAAATTGAGGTCTCAACTTTATATCTCAATTACAAGTTACTACCACTGTAATATCGGAACAAAAAAAAAGGTGGTTATTAATACTGCTGTAGAATTACTTTACCTTTGGTTATGTATACTGCTGCAGACTTACTTTACCTACCAGTCGTATAGTTACCACTGAAAGTAATATGGCGATGTCCAAAACACCGAAAATATACACTATCTATGAAGGAGGGTGTTTTCAGGATGTAAAAAACGTGTTTTAGGATATTTAACCAGGTTGTAACAAAACGTGCTTTGGGATCTTTAACACACACAGCACGGCTTATCGAGAAAGTATTCTTGACATTCTATTTTAATCGCGGATATCGATTAATGTGATCACCTTATTCGTGTAACATTCTTGTACAAGAAAATACTTTTTAATATCTTATAAAAATGTTCCCCAATTCCAATTATATGCTAAAGCTCATCAAATGTTGCAAGCATTACAAAACGAAAAACATAGCAGTAAGAAACTTTTGCTTCAATCTTGTGTTCCTTAACATTGAAAAACTAGTACAGCGAATGACTCATTTAAGATCTCGATCTCCAGTCAAAATGGAAGTTTGAGCCGAGGCGGAGGAGAATCTAAACGTTGAGCTGGACTTTTTCCTGGACCGTTTGTGGACGATGATGACGCAGATATAACGAAAGCTTTGTTTTTTCTATCTTCTGATTTCACCATGTAACCTGAGGCTTCGGAGCTAACACTGTCATCAGAGTTTTTTTTGTCGTATCTTTGAATTTTCAGAATTCTCGGTTGTTCTTTCGTTGTAATTATGATTTATGTCAGTCACAATCCAAGGCTCGAATTCAATGTCTTTGGTTGTTTCATGTGTTGGTTTCCAGTTCAAGTTACTACACAACCCTGTTTTCTTCACCTGTTTCAACAGGAACTCTCGATGAGAAATCATAACACTATCAAGCTCATCTTTACTGATTTCAATCACTTCTTTCTCTTGTGTGAAGGGAGCTGGAGAAGGTACTCTGGGTGAGACTGATGTGTCTTGACCTAAAGGCGGAAGGACAGGAGAATCAAGCAGAAGTGGTTCCCATATCTTTCCTCCGTGTTCTGATTGCTGTACAAGTTTTGGTTGTAAAACTCTCGAGATTTCATCTTTTTTATCGCTAGAATGATTGAATTGAGTTGGATTCAAAAGCAGCTCATCGTCATATGAATGTCCTTTTTCCATAGTTGACTCTTTAGCGGTATTATTTGAGATGACACCAGACATTATATACTCGTGCCCGTCTTTAAAACTAGAAGATATAAATGTGGATCTGGTTGCATCTACGACTGTACGTGGCATCTTTGTATTCGTTACATTATTTGATTCTTTGTTTTCCTGGCAGGTTCGATCTACGAAGTTTTCTTGAAATTCGGGTGATTTGCACAATGACTGATGTTTTGACAGAATGGAGACCGTTTGGATAAAATGTGTTTGTTCCGTTGTTTCACTAACGGAAGGACATTGCATGTAACTACTTCCCATTGTCTTGTCGGTACAATCTAATGTTGACAAGCGTTGTGAAAAGTCTGTGCATAATGAGCTTTCCGGATTGACATTGTTTTCATATTCCGATGGGATCAAAATGCAATTTTCCAACATTTTTGTTTGATGCTGAAGATCGCTATTAGTTAACTCCTCTTGATTAAGGTCTAATGATATGGCACGTTCAAAAACAATAGGTGGCTGACTTAGTGGTTTTTTAATTTCGGTCAAATCTCCCAGAGATGAAGACTTGAAATATAATTGTTTATCTGCAGTTTCCAAATAATTTTTCGAGGACATTTCAGAGTTGTCAGCTGTTAAAGACGAATAAACATCTGAATGCTGGTCAGTGCTTTGTAAAGCACTGCCTTTAAAACATACACTTCCAACTTTATTAGTTGTGGATATTTGATCATCGGAATACGAATTTTCTGGTTGATTTCGACTTTGAGTCATGATCTGATGAACGTGAGCAGTGGTTTGAACTTTCCGATTACGAAGTATGTCAGATTCGTCAGACCTAATCTTATTAGTAATATATTGTTGTCGATTTTTATCATGATCTGGCAGGTTGTCATTGGCAGAAATGGAAGCTGAGCTTAACGACATTTTACTTTCTGACGACAAACTAGACTTTGTTTTAGCAAGGTCGACTGTACTTTCTTGTTTTCTAAGTTCAGATTGAGACATCCGAAGAGACCTTCTGGTGGGGTCAATGCCCTCTTCATTTAAAAATAAACTTCTCTTGCTTCTTTGGTAAGATCTTGTGGACAGTTGTTTTGGAAGGTTGTCGTCTTTTCCTGTTGCGTTTGTCAACATTCTTTCATTCAAAGAACCCGTTGGAATAGTAAGCGAACTTTCTTTTTCTTGTTCCAGAAAGTCCCTAGCTCTGCATATAAACTTAGAATTATTTCTCATTGTCAATTGTCCAGTTGGATGGCTTAAAACGGAATCCTTTCCGATTTGAGTGAGATCATCAATAGATTGACTACGGTACAAAGGATGGAAAAGTATCTGTCCTCCACTGTTAAAGCTAGATGATGTGAGTCGTCTACCAGCTCCAGCTATAGGCTGGGTTCCCTCAGAAGTTTTCTCGATCTCCAGCTGTACATCATAAGGAGAAGCGTAACTTAAGATCGTTAAAGCATCTTCGTATACTATGCTGGAGAAGGATACTATGACCTTCAAGATTCGATCACCTGCGTATGAAATAATATACGTCAGAAGACAATAAAATATAATGTCGGATTTTTACTAGCTCATGTTATAGATATTACTGAATGACAGTGAAATAATGAATAAAAAGAAGACAAATCTTTGCCATATCTAACTCGGAGATATAATCGTGTGTACTAAGTATACATATTATACATGTATTGAAACACAAACATTACACCTTATACAGAGCTCTGTGAAAACATATTTGAATAGAAATATATTCTAAATAATTTGTTTTACATCATAATATATTTTTTTTTATTAAATAGCTACAATAACTTGGTTTCGTTTACTCTTCATGTAAAGAGCTCTACACACCAACAAAACCTTTGTAAGACAAAGATAACATTTATAAATATCCCGTTCTTCTATTTACTACAAACGCATGAATTCCTGTCGTTATTATTCAACGAGGCCCAAAAACACGCAAGATTCATAGCAGTAAAAAATCTGCAGTTCCGCCCAATGTGGGGAGGGGCGTCTTCAAGCGTTAATAATACCCAGCTATGTTACCCTACCGTTCCAGTTTTTTACACAAGGACAATACACGTGAGGTGAGCGTGTATGTAGCTGATTATCACATGTACAAAAAATAAGCTAACCAGAATTCCTTCTTTTCAATCTATTGTTGTACTAAACGTAATATGTCATATATTCCTTCTTTTTCAATCTGTTGTTAGACTAAACGTGATATGTCATATATCCTGGATTATGATCCTACTGGCTAAGCAGAAGTCATTTGTTTTCACACACCTGAATAACATGAAATTAAGAATATTTTTTTTATTGATTATCTTTTGTTTCTAATGTTTTTAAGAGCTGCGAGTTTTGTTTTGTTTTCAATGAAAATGACGTTTCGTTTGTAATAAGGACATTTTGCTTCTAAATAGCGTCCCTCAAGTGCCCAAAAACATTTCTAAAAAGTAGTATTACAGTCACGTTAAATAAACAGTTTAAATTTTATTTGTATGCAATATTTATGGCAAGGCTACTAAACCTATATGTCGCCATTCTTAATTTTGACTACTGGTCAATTTGTTTTGGTTTAGAGCAAGCCACATTGGGCTATTTGATATGTCCATCGCAGGAAATCGAACCCCGGATTTTAGCGTTTTAAGTCCTTAAACTTACCGCTGTCCCGCCGGAGGACCTACTGGTCAGAGGGAAGGCAGCCAATCAAAAGAACACTACCACCCACCATCCATACAAAGGAACTGACTGTCACAATTATCGAGCAATCACAGCTTAAAGTGGGAGAATATGGAATATTTTGTGGTATAGCACGAATTTGAACCTGGTTTGTACCATAGGGCCAACCCGCGCCACTTTAATAGTTTAAGGAAACAACATAGTTATGTTTGTATCTCACATAAATATCGAAAGGCAAACTTTTACAACGTTTAAATCTCTAGTAATATCGCTTAAATAGTCTGCATACAACTGTCATTTCAGAAAGTGGTTGGACTTGTAAAAAAAAAAAAAAGTAAGAGTCCTCTGGTGGGACTACGATAAGTTTACGGTCTTACATCGTAAAATCCGGGGTTCAACACAGCAGGTAACCCAATGTGGCTTTGGTGTAAAGTGTAAAAACAAACAAATATGAGTCGCTTTTAAAGTAAGAGTCATCTGGTGGGACAACAATAACTTTACGATCTTATATCGTTAAAATCCGGGGTTCAACATAGCAGGTAGTCCAATGTGGCTTTGGTGTAAAGTAAAACAAACAAACAAATATGAGTCGCTTTTAAAGTAAGAGTCATCTGGTGGGACAACAATAACTTTACAATCTTATATCGTTAAAATCCGGGGTTCAACACAGCAGGTAGTCCAATGTGGCTTTGGTGTAAAGTAAAACAAACAAACAAATATGAGTCGCTTTTAAAGTAAGAGTCATCTGGTGGGACAACAATAACTTTACGATCTTACATCGTTAAAATCCGGGGTTCAACACAGCAGGTAGCCCAATGTGGCTTTGGTGTAAAGTAAAACAAACAAACAAATATGAGTCGCTTTTAAAGTAAGAGTCATCTGGTGGGACAACAATAACTTTACGATCTTATATCGTTAAAATCCGGGGTTCAACACAGCAGGTAGTCCAATGTGGCTTTGGTGTAAAGTAAAACAAATTATGAGTCGCTTTTAAAGTAAGAGTCATCTGGTGGGACAACAATAACTTTACGATCTTATATCGTTAAAATCCGGGGTTCAACACAGCAGGTAGTCCAATGTGACTTTGGTGTAAAGTGTAAAAACAAACAAACAAATTTAAAGCGAGGAAATATATATTTACTATATCCATCAAAAGACTAAATTATTCCCTTGAATCTGGTGTAATTAAGTTATTTTAAAAACTACTAATGCATATACAATTGTACTTAAGTGTTCAACACTCTTAAAGACAAAATGTATTACCTTCTTGAATTTCCTTCGGTTACTTTTAACATTTACAATAATATTAAAAAGATTGGTACCTAAAATAAGTAAACTTTATATAAAACATTCGATATCATAAACATTCTCCAAAGTTATAGAAGATTCTCGAGAGTAAGAATCAAAAGTATATGCGTGTACGTAAACGCTTTAATCAATATTGTTACGTAAGACTGAAATTTCTAGAACGCCCCCACACGGCTATAAATATAACCAACGCGACGCGCCAAAAGAGAGTGTCTATTAGTAGTTCGTTATAATCAGTGTGCTACAAACTTCGAAAGCTATAACTGTGATTTTTATAACGCTTATCAATCAAAAAACTTAAGATATTTGACCAGGAATATTTACGAATTTCGAACGTTACAAATCGTTTAACTTCAATGGATTATCATCAGACATTAGTGTTTTTACAAAGACATTACCTAACTTCAACAAACCAAAAATTCAGTATGTGTGGCAAACGACAAAGCTAGCTAGCTTCCCGGCGAATCGTATCTACATCAACTTGAAATTAACTCGCTCATCGTAAACCCCCGATAAGATATGTAGGGAGTTCCAAACTAGAAAGAAGATTTTATATTATTTGTAAATTTGTGAAACTTTTGTTTATAAATTTTTGTTTACAGTAACTATTTGTAATAATTGTAAATATTGTTCGCAAATATCATAAATTGACGGTATATCGGCTTTACTTTAACTACTAAATTTAAATTATCAGTTAACTCGGCTTCGGACTATTCGAAATTCTAATACGTAACAGGTGACAGAAGATCGTTCAGAAAGAAGAGACTTAGGGTTTCATAACACCACTCTTTTTTCGTCACAATAGATTGTTTGGTTTGTTTTGAATTTCGCGCAAAGCTACTCGAGGGATATCTGCGCTATTCGTTCCTAAGTTAGCATTGATAGACTAGGGGTAAGGCAGCTAGTCAATACCACCCAACGCCAACTCTTGGGCTACTCTTTTACTAACGAAGAGTGAGATTGACTGTCACATTATAACGGCTGAAAGGGCGAGAATGTTTGGTGTGATGGGGATTCGAACCTGCGACCCTCAGATTGCGAGTCGGACCCAGTCAGATCAGAAAGGTATGCTCTTGTAATGATCCAAAGTTTTCTCAATTTAAAATCGTATCATTGCATTCGGTTCTATCTATACATTTGTTGAAAACGTAACGTGGATATCAAACAGACGCAGTGATGAAATCTCAAAATATAAAAATATAAAGAGGTAGTTAAACTCATTGTAAACGTAGGTGAAATACGTGGTCAACGTTTAGCCGTTTCGTAGGTCCCGATGAGGGACGTTTGACCAAAACGTTGACGCATATATATATATATATATTCTCCTTTCCACCATTTTAATTGATATTATTTTTATACTTTAAAATACTAAACTGTCTTACCTGCTTTGATTTTTCCAGATTCGTTTGCAGGCCCTCTGTTGAGAACATCTTTTACAAAAATTCCGTCTCTCATGTTCCCACAGATATTAAAACCTAGGCCCGTGAAGTCATACCCTCGCAATGGCACAAGAATTCGCTCGAGCTCCTGTAATGAGATAATTTTTTTTTATGCCGAAAATTATTTTTATTATTATTATATTCTTAATTATGTCTATAAAAATATTAGAACTAAAAATAAATACACAAGATGATGTACCACGATTTTGAGCCAATTTCAAAACTTACACGGAAAATACGAAAGTAAATATATAAAACACACACATACGTGGAATTATTTCAATTTTATTATAATCGTTATCCTCAAAACAATGTGATGACAAAATTATATGTATTCTCAAGCATCTTCAATGATCTTTAAACAATGCACGTTAATAAATACTTCTGACAAAGAAGAAAGATGAAATTTTGATTTATATATACAGAGCTCGCAGTAAGGTATAGGAACAAAATAAAAACATGAATACATACCAGGCCAACACAAGTATCGTCAACAGCTCTTGGTTGTAAAGGAATGCCGGGAAACTGGTTTGACTTGGATATTCTTCTCTTCAACACAAGGCTATCCTGCAAATATAATCAACAAAGTATTCACCGCGTATTCAGTAAGCATCTCCACTTGAGTTGAAGCTGAATTTAATGCACTATAAAATAACGAACAATGTAACAAATATAGTCAGCTTTAGTGTGTGTGTGTGTGTTGTATTCAAACACGTTTTAACATTCAAATTCCCAGCTTGTTGTTTTGCTCATTTCAACCAACCGGATACCTTCACGTTAACAACTGGTAGCTAAGATCCTTATAAACACTACTGAACAAGATAAATTAAGTTATTTAGTAATACTCTATAGAATTTACTATGTAGATCGGAACTTCAATGGGAGACGTTACTGTTGTTTTTAAGCATTACTATATATATTTTTATTTGAGTTTAATTGCATCTAACTTCTATATAGAGAATAATCTTATTATGTAATTATCGCAATACTCGAGAAATCTGAGAAAAAAAAAGTACCAGACATACTTGAGAGGTTTAGTTTGTTTGAAGTTAAGCACAAAGCAACACAATAGGCTATCTGTGTTGTGCCCACCACGGGTATCGAAAACCGGTTTCTAGCGTTGTAAGTCCGCAGACATATCGCTGTGCTACTGAGGACTACTTGAAAGGGCATCATAAAGTATGCGTTTCTGAGATAATTCGATGATCTTTCATGTGGCATAAAACTGTGTTTACATGCGCATTTCTGTTATCTCATTTCGGATTGAAAGATTTGACGAACGCTAAGCTTCATTTTAATTATCTGAAGATAAATAATGATTTCGTTAATTAAAAATAAGTAAAATGCGTAGACATGTAAGTATATGCCCTGAAATATTGTTTGAAATTCTTAATGATTTGTTTCTTACAAAATTATCAACCAGAATATTCCAATACTTGAAACCCGTACAAAATCCAAACTGTTGTTTAATTCAAGAATGACAATCATATACGTAAATTACTTTTTCTTTTTTTCGTGATGTTATTAACCACAAAGCTACACAAAGGACTATCTGTGCGGGTATCGAAAACCAATTCTAAACGTTATAAGCCCTCAGACATACCGTTCAGCTACCGGAAAGGGTTACCTAAATATATGTAAACGTTTATAAACAAATATTACATCTTTACGTACCTTTATACAATTAGTTTTAAAACTGATATAAGAAAACTCGCAAAAATGGAAAAAAGTGGAAAATGTTAGTAATATACTGGCGTATTTGAAAATTACAATTTCAACACTGATAAAAATAACATCAGATAAACTGAAAAGTAATTGTTGAACAACAATTTAAAAGTAAACCCTTGAAAGATTACTTTAATTGTTCTGTTGCTGCAATAAAAAAAATATTTGTTTTCATGTCTCTTTTTGCTTTACAACAGCGTCTGGATATTTTTCACTTGTTAGTTTCCAGAAAGGTTTAATAGTTGAAGGAGAACTCAAAGAAGGAAATAATTTTATAACAATAGTGCTCGTTTCTAGACCACATTTAATTAATAATATTCATGTTAACTTCTACTAAATAAATGTGTAGTTTTTTGTTTTTGTTTCTGAAGAGACAATGAAGAAAGTGTTAGTTAGGCTTAATACTCACTTTTTTTACATAAAAAAGCGAAATGTTTTTATGCTCTGGCCTTTAATATACATTCAAACTGCACACAGCTAAGTCATGCAGTATACATGTCATTCATCAAGTATTATTCATAAACAATAATTCTTCAACGTTCTTCAAGAATTATATACTGTTCTTTATGTTATATTGTTTTGTTTCTGCATCCTGGAATTCATCATTGTCACCTCTTTATCTCAAGGTGATTTGTTTCTTACTTTTTTATTACTCACACATCATGTTATAAGTATTGTATACCCTTATACTATAATATATATAATTGTATTATTTGTTACTGAATTATTTTACTAGAGTGATTGATTGACGTCATGACCATGCCAGGAGATTGTACGTGTCTTTAGAATTGTTTTAAGGACTTTATTTGACTATATAAGGATTTATTTTACTCGTACTCGGGAAATTCCCATCGGTGAAACGCTACTAGAAATCTCGATTTTACTGACCTTGGTATTGTGGCCTCTGTCGGACACTAACCCCGTTGATGTCTGGTCTGTAAAAAGAAAAAAAAAAGAAAATATAGAAGGTGCTAAGATTATCATATCGTACTTGACGAAAATCATTCATTTCTTAGTTTGAAATGTTATTATAATTCCTATCATTATTTGTTAAAGGTTATGTTCTACCTTACAGTGTGCAGTGTAGTCATATATATGTATAAGTGTATGTGTATTTGCATGAGTTTGTAATATATATATTGTAATATACATTACACACTACAATGTGCAGTGAAGTCATATATATCTATAAGTGTATGTGTATTTGCATGAGTTTGTAATATATATGTATATTACAGAGGGCTGAGTTTGACATGTGCTATATTTAGGCGATTTTAAGTATGCAAGTCAGCAGATCACGTAACAAGCACAGTCATTTAAAGTGATGGTGGAGTGGAAAATCTCAGCACTAAATCTTATATACTGTGATGCCACCGACCACAGATAAATTTTGGAAAAGGTATGTAACAAATTTTAATGATGCAAAATATTCATATTTTACGTTCATAAATATGTGTTTTGGTCGGGCATTTATAATTTTCAAGAAAAGGATATCTCTTGTATTTATTTGCGTTAGAAAACAAAAGAATATGGACCAACTTGCGGTACCAAGACCCTCCAGAATAAGACCTGCAACATCTTGTAACAAATGAAAATTCACAAACATAAAAGTCATGTTCCCTCCATGTTCCCCAAGCAACAGTATGTGATATAATAAAGAAGGATATCCATCTGGAAAAGTGACACATTTCACGTGTACACAAGTTGCTTCCACAAGATATGCGTTCAACCGTTTCAAGCCTTAAGCAGCTGAAGAATGAAACATATATTCATCCTAATCTGTATCAAGACATACTATTCATGTCGCCAGATGCAGCACCTACGGATTTCTTTGAGATCAGACTCTCAAAATGGGCTCTTGGAATCCATCGTCCTTGTACATTAGATGGCTTATGAAAAGAAAGCAGGACGAGTAGTATGCTTTGGACTTGAGATAATTACGGAGGAATACTGCAGCTCTTTTTACGATCTATGAGCGTGAGATAGAGCATGAGTGGACGTGGAAACATTGACTTTAATGACGTGGTTAGCCTCTAAAAATCGTTCTGATATAACGTATATCTACGTATTTCTCAAGGTTAAAATATGACATCTTTAAACATTTGACTTGTGTAAGTCAATATGTATGTTTCTTTTCTATATATCTGTGATTTGAAATATGGATAGATGCGATTGGATGTATATGTGTATGTTCTGTAACCATTGAAATTTTCTAATTAATTAATAATTTCTCTCACTGTGAAACTTAAAAAGTTTTATCAAAACGCTACGAATGTTTTAATAGTATGAAGAAATTAATTGTAAAACAACAGCAAAAACTTTGTACTAATTTATTACAATAAATTATCTTTATAAAACAAATACAATATGCTATGCTACTTATGTGTTACTTAAGGAAGTCAGGTTAATTTTGAATGAGTATAGGACAGCATTGCTTTAAAAATTTAATAATTATATTTTTGCATATTTAAATCAAACCATCCGAACTTTACAAGAATATTTTTAATGATATGTTTCGCTTTGATGAGTCAGATATTTAAAAAAAATGTTTCCAAAGTAGCTATGTTTTCCTACTTTCCTTCAAAAGTATAGGTGTGTTTATAACTTATATATATATTCCGATTAAAGTGAGTTGATAAGATAATATTTGCTTCAGAAAGATTTAAAAAAATTATTAATGGTCAAAGAACTATTTCAACATCAAGTCATTTGAAAGGAGGCCCAGGACCAGTTTTTTTTTATAAAAGGGGCACATGCATAATGTAATATAAACGGCACATTATGTGCAATTGGCCGTCCTAATTTTGAACTACTGGCCAGAAGGGATAAAGACAAGCTGAAGCACCTGTCTGACCTTTTGAAGCGAAAAAATAAATTGACTGCCACTGTTATAACATGCCCAAGGATAACAGTGCGGAACATTTTCAGTGGTATCACGTCTCGAACCTCTGGCTCCCCCAGTGGCACAGCGGTATGTCTGCGGACTTACAACGCTAGAATCAGGGTTTCGGTACCCGTGGTGGGCAGAGCACAGATAGCCCATTGTGTAGCTTTGTGCTTAATTACAAACAAACAATCGAACCTCGGACCCTTCACATCGCACGCAGCCTGACTTCCCAACTACTACGATTTCACGCCCAACCCACGTAAAATAATGTTGAATTAAAGAAAAAACTTAACTGAATTATATTCTTTTTTCTTCAGTCTGATTTTAAAATCTTCAGAAACATCAGAATACAAATAAAGAAACCTATTCTCTGATAAAAAAAAACGCACGAACAATGATGTAAAATAATCAGAACTTGTATTTTGTATCTTATGAACTTAAAAGCTTGTACCATAGCAAAAATTCAGATACTAAAAAGAGAAATGGAAAAACTTAGTATATTTTAAAGTAACCTTACATCTGAATAATTTCATTGTTGGTAGGATGATGATAACTTTTAATGACGGTTAAAAGTATTTAATAATATAACGTTTTCTTTGTTTGTTTGAAGTTAAACACAAAGCTACACAATGAGCTATCTGTGCACTGCCCACCACGTGTATCGAAACCCAATTTTTAGCGTTGTAAGTCCGCAGGGATGCTGCTGTGCCACTGAGGGCTATAACGTTCAGATGTCTATAGTTGTATTAATTAGGTTTTTCCTGAACCTCGTAATAAGGTTCAAATTTAAGTTCTTATTTATTTTGTAAATGAAAAGCCATTACAGTTGAACATTAAATTATAATGTGACATGTCATATACGGAAATAATTGTATTTTGTTGATATAACATAGCTTTTGTTCCTAAAATATCGAATTAGAATGTAATTTAATTCCTCAGTATCTTTATAAATCAAAGCTGATAAGAATTTTGGTATTAATATTTATTTTTCGTGACTGTAAAACGACTCTTCTGTCATAATGACATTTGTTGATTCTTGATGTTTGTTTGTTTGAAGTTAAGCACAAAGCTACACAAAGAGCTATCTGTGCTCTGCCCACCACGGGTATCGAAACCCAGTTTCTAGCGTTGTGTGTCCGCAGACATACTGCTGTGCCCCTGGGGGGCATGCTTGATGAATCATATAAACGATGTGAAATTCATTTACGTATTTGTCATAGAAATAACGCAAGAAAACACCGACATGAATACATAATATTCCGAAATAAAATAAACCATTTGGAAATACGACGAGATTGGGAAACTTTAAGAATGCTGTTTCCTAAGTTCCTTTATCATACCATCTAAAGAAATTTGATGTAAAAATAATTTTAGCTTAGTCGTTTGTAAAAATCTCTTAGTGCATAAACCTTTTTTAAAACACTCATTAGAAACATTAAGATATTTTAACGCATAGGCGTTTTATAGAGCCTGAAAATCCTCAAAAATATTTTGTTAAAAGAAGTTTGCATATTGGTGTTATTTCAACGTCTAGTGTTGCCAATGCTATGGTGAGGAAATTGTACACCATTTGTTATACACCATTGTCCTTTGTTATTGGCAGCCGTTTATTAAAAATCTGAATAATTCAACAAGTCAGTCAGAGAACACCTGGTGGTTGACCTTTGACATTGATTCGAGACGGCTCTGGTTTTCCATAGTTATGTTGTAACCACCTCCATTTACGACAGTGCGGTGATGGTTTATTACGAGTTGTTATGAAAATTACCAATGGTATTCTCCACGAAAATATGTACTGAATCGCCCATTCTCGAAGTTAATTGATCCAAAAGTCTTCATTTATATTTCTCAATTTGTAAGCAATGGTGAATTTGGAAAATAATATGCATATTGCTTCTTTGTTTCTGCAAAGTTACTGGATATTGGGAAAGCTAATAAGCATAGAAACGTACTAACACTACCTGCAATAGCTTATTAAAGATAAAAATCTGTGATTTTTAAATGCTGAATGCTCGGCGACTGTAGTTGATCTGTATCACTTCTAATTGTTGCTGCTGACAAAATTAAAGAACTCGTTCGTTTCCATTTTCTTTTATGTATTGCTTTGATGTTGAGTTTTTTTTAACCAAAAATCAACTTAGCCCTCATCTGCATGTATCGTATTTACTATCTGGAAAAACGTTTTGATGAACTGTTCAGGTAATATAAAATACCCCAATAAAATAGAGATATCCAGAGGAACTATAAAAATCGTGTAAAACAGCGTAACATTCACGATGATGCAAATGTTAATACTTTTCGAAAGTTGAACATTTCTTTTAGAATTTTGAATTGTATCTTTTTTGTCTGTTTTACATCAGTTTAATACCTCAATGTGATACCACAATAAAATAGAGATATCCAGAGGAACTATAAAAATCGTGTAAAACAGCGTAACATTCACGATGATGCAAATGTTAATACTTTTCGAAAGTTGAACATTTCTTTTAGAATTTTGAATTGTATCTTTTTTGTCTGTTTTACATCAGTTTAATACCTCAATGTGATATCCCAATAAAATAGAGATATCCAGAGGAACTATAAAAATCGTGTAAAACAGCGTAACATTCACGATGATGCAAATGTTAATAATTTTCGAAAGTTGAACATTTCTTTTCGAATTTTGAATTGTATCCTTTTTGTCTGTTTTATTCAGTTTAATACCTCAACGTATCAGCAACCTAACAAATGAAATTTATCAACTTTTCTCATATTGAGACTTTTGATTGTTCATACAAAGAAATCACTGAAACACTACAATTTTCGGGAAGTAATCTATCAGAAGCTTCTGAAAAGACTTCAGCTTCTTCAACAGAGCTTCCTCAGTTGGTACCAACTTCTCTCGGACAACTAAAAATAAATCCTATACCAAGACGTTTCACTTTTTCAGCAAATCTTCTTCAGTTGGTACCAACTTTTTTCGGACAACTAAAAATAAATCTATGCAAGTATATTTCACTTCTTCAGCAAAGATTCCTCAGCTAGTATCAACTTCTCTTAGGCAGCTGA